ATTAAAAGTGTAAATAGACTTGTTCATTTGGTCTTTATGTAAATAAAATATTTGGAAATTTGAGTATTTAAATATTTTCATATTATTTTTTTTTTCAAATTTATGACTTATTTTCTGAGCAATCAGGATATTCCCTAAACTGTTTTATTAAGGTTTAAAATAGAATTGTAATCATCTCCAATGCTAACGCTCAACGGCCAAGTGGCTATTACCCAAGTTCTGTACTTACCACTAGATAATTAAAATAGAAAGACATTTAAATAATTAAATCATGTTTTTATAATTAATGTTTCATCTTTCGATTTTACACTAAATTACCTTATTGTCATCAAAATAATCAGCCTCGCCATCAATTGGGTCAATTGCTGACAAATATATAACCACTAGATTTTATTAATTTTGCGCTAATGTTGTCCAGGTGACTTGTTTTTCAGCCTGGTAACTGCTTCTTGCAGTTCAGCTGCTGAAGGGGGGTTCTTTCTCTGGTTATTGTTTGATCCAGTATAATTCCATCATATAGTGGATCTTCGTTTTTTTCAAACTTTTCTTTATAGAATTCTGTCCATCTTTGTAGTATTTCACTCTGTTGAGTTACTATATCTCCTTATTTGTCTCTGCACATCATTGTTCTTGGTTCAAATTCTTTCCACTTTTGGTAAGTTTTTGGTAGAATTTTCTGGTTTCTGATGGTTTATTTAGTTCTTCCATTTCTTGGAGTTCTTTTTCTATGTGTTCTCTTTTCGTTCTGCGATGTACTTTCTTCTCTTCCCTCCTTAGCATTATATATTCTCCCTCTGCCTTTCGTGTACTATGTCGTTGTTGTAGTCGTTAGATGCATTATTTTTCCTCTCTGTTATGTTACGACATTTTTCATTGAAACAGTCCTTCAGTTGATTTGAGCTTTTTTTGGTAAACCCAAAGGTCTCTTTGTTGATGTTTTTACACAGATGTTTTTACACGGTTCCCATTATCTTTTATATCCTCGTGCTTTTGTGTTTCTAGCCTTCCTTTTATATATTCTTTGTATTTTGTCTTTTTACTTTTTTTTTATTTAATTAATGGCTTTGGATAACTTGAGCGATTCAGTCACGATAATGTATTTGACTACTTGAGTTTATTAATGATGTATTGACCTATTGTATTTGTTACCGAAATAGTACTTTGCATAGAGGTAAATTAAAAATATCATGTAAACATCAGTATCACAAGAATCAGTAGCTTGATAAAAAAAACCATACATTCATTCGTTTCATTCAATGCCCTAACCAACAATATTTAGGGACCCACAAGGGATTACATAATATAGGGATACTTTTCACGCTAAGGTGCTGCTTTCATAGCGACTTTATTACAACACAAGACAGGCAACGGTTAGAAGGTAACTATATAGAACAAAGCTAGGTTTACACATTCACTTTTACACATTCAATCCTAAAATTTTTCTTTTAGTCCTTTTTAAATATTCCCAAAAAAATTTGGTATAAACCTAATATTATGACGAGAGATATATAAAATGGAAGATTGACACTGAGGGAGAGGTTGCCTTTTTACTTGTTGTCTGATGTTTTTTATTTCATATTTTTCAATTTTGGATCCCTTTTCTTTTTTAATGTTTGAGATTCTAACTCTTATTCTATTTCCACCTAGGTAGTAATCCGAATATGCATTTGCCCTTCGTTTGCTGCATATGTTTATTACGTCGTAGAGTGACGTCTAGAGTCAATAATAACATAATAGACCATGTTTACTGTAACCCCATCTGGAGATCTCCACGTTCCTGATGAATATTTTTTTTCTGGAAGCCTGTGCTGGCAATGATCATTGTTAAGGGAAGTTGCTAGATTTATTAGGCTGATGCAATTGTCATTGGATACCTCATTGAAAGGCTGTGTTGTTTACCTATAGTTGGTAGGTATTGTTGTTTCTTTTTCTATTTTGCGTTAATAAATTAAACTGTGTAAGAAATATTTAATAACAAATAAAAAATGATACAGGTATAATAATGATTCTTCTGAGGTTTCTCCCAGAACACTAAAAACTTATATAAGATCTAGCTCTAGCTCTCTAAGCTCTAATATCTTCAACTTCAGAAATTTCAATATCTTATTTAGATTGAGAATGCGAGAATAGAAATATGTACTAATATTTAATTGTGTGATTGCTTTTCCACGGCAATATTAAACACGCCAGCGCGTCCCCTTGTCTTTGACCGTTATTAATGTCAAAGAACGTAGAGTTTTCTCCTTCAAATTCTAACACATACACATACAAAGATTTCAAAGATTTAGGCGCCAAAATTATATTTGGTGTAATTTTGATTGATTGTAATTGATGATTCTACATCCAAATAAAATTAAGGAAAATATTTTTTACAACAAACATATATTTGTCATGTCATAAAAACAGTAATAATTACAACACACAAATAAATGAAAATTCAAATTAATTAACTCAAAATAATCATCTTCCGGTTCAGATGTCTCAATTGACTCTGTGTTTGGGTCAGCAGGTAATAAAAGTTCAATCGTTTCAGATAGAAATGCCTGCGTGAAGATTTTTTTATTGTCTCAAGCAAGTAATGAAGGGATCTGAACTTAATAAAATACTATAATATACATCAAGTTACACCTTTCCTAGAAAACTTTCTAGCAAAATTTAACCGGTATGATCGGAAATGCTTGTTCCGGCTTCTGCAGCCTTTTCTGATTAGCTGTTCTATTGGAAGTAGCGAACTTTGTATGATTTGGCTTCCATGTATCAATTAGCTTATGCATGGTTGGCATCATTTGATGCCAACCATACGTTCTACGTACAATTTGCTGTTTCGTACGCATACGTATCAATTTTTCAGCTTCTATTTTGTGGCGACCTTAAAATAGTTTCTAAAAAACAACCTTGAATCTGTAAATAATATCAAAGCTAATACCTGTAATGTCTGAAGTCAATTTGGGATTTTCAAAAAATCTGCGGCTTGTGTTGCCAAAGTTGGCCTTTGGCATGTTAACAAGTACTTCGTATTCATTCCGAAATCTCTCCTGAATTTTCCGACTTCTTTTGGGCTTCTAAATCTTTTTATTCTTCACTTTTTCTTTACCAGTATTCTTTACAGGTAGTTTATACGCCAAGGCGTATAATACTTTCAAAAATACGGATCCGCGCGTGTTAATATTGACAAGCCGAAATTTCAAAGGGTTTACAGTATTTTTCATTGACAAATCATTAAAGTTCTTTGAGGTAGCTCCACAAATGTATCACTGGGATGTTAACTTTGTGTCTGTGACTGCGTTGCGCACCTTACCATGAATTATACTTATTTTGAGTTGGTGCTCGAACGAACACTCCTCTTCATTTAACCTAACAATTGTATAGTTCAGTTATTTAATTAATTCCGGCACAAATTTTTTCTCTTCTTTAGTTAAATCCGTTGTTTCTTTTACAAATCTAAATCTAATTGACCGGCAAAGCTTTGACAAAGAAGGGGTTGGATTTTGTCATATAATTTTACTATCGTGTTTTTCCACAAACAGTGCGCAAAGTTAACAAAGGAACTCATAAAAATGTTGGCATCTGAATCAGTATTATTATTGAAACTTTGTTTACATTTGTAATGTTGGGCACCGTCACAACACAACTCCATTTGCAAATTATCATTAAAGACTTCCTCTTTTGCCTCGGTAAGTCGAATTAGCAAATCTTCTAAGTATTTTGATAATCGTGTCACGGTTAGATTCATTAGGCACTGTAGGTTACTCTCTGCGCAGGTAGATGTAATTTTTAGGGATTCTTTTGGCGGATTGTTTAGATTTCAAAAATAAGATCATAGCAAGGGAATTTTTTTGGATTTGTTGCTCTTATTATCTCATACTGCCGTCTCGATAGATCAGATTCAACTAACATCTTGAGTGCTTGCAGAGACGTCAATGGAGGTTAGCTCATCTTTGTCGCAATTTTTACTGTTAGGCTTTTTATATATTTACTGGTCTGTGTTGGTGAGTTCGTAATATTGTTAAGCAATTTTAAGGAGGTCCTATATCCTGTTTGTCTGCCAACACAGATTTAGCAGCGTGGACAATAACTTCATTACCTACGGAGGCCCCTATTTATTCCGTTTTCCTTCGTTTACTTCTTCTTGGAGCGCCAATGGTAGCAACAATATGGTCCGTGTATCGTGTGGGAGATCTACCTCTATTTCTTTTGCCTTCTACTTTTCCCTGGATGGTAAGTTTTTCAAGACCATTTCTTCGAAGCACATGTCCAAAATAGCTTATTATTTGTTCTGATATTTATGTTCTTAGTCTTTTCTTTATGTTTAGCTGGTCCAGTATGGATTCATTTTGTTCTTCGGGAATGCTGAGAATACCACCCAATGGTATTCTCAGCATTCGTCTCCAGCAGTACATCTCAAATACATCTATGTTCTTTTTGTCTTTCTCAGTAAGGGTTCCAGCAATGCGATGCATAAGTAAAAAACTGGAAAAACTAGACTTCTTATAGGCTTCGTTTACTACGCTCACTTAATTCTCCAAAAGACTTGGGTGGTCGACCTTGAGTGAAAGTTGTTTCAATGAGAATCTCGAGTGTTCCCTGTAACCATGATTGGTTTTTTTTTTTTCAGCAAGAAAACATTAGGTGTGTTATTTTCTTTTGCCCATCGTTGCTTAATTTGTGATTTTATATTATTAGAATATCTTTGTTTGAAAAAATCTTTAGCCTCTTGGTAGTGCCCAGAACGCATTAGGAGAAAATTCTCATTTAATGTGTCATACACAAAAAGTTCCGTCAGAAAATTTAAAAAGTTTTTTTGTTGCTGTTAGTAAATGTCCCCTGAAAAAAATACCTGGTTATCTATAAATTTCGTCATTTTTCCGACATTTTTTGAGTCTTCAGACACGTTGTATTACCTATATTTAACATCAGCCAATTTTATTTTCGTGAATTTTTCTGTCAAATATGTTTTTGGGACTCTGTTGTAGAAATTAAAACAGGCTCTAAAGAAAACTCATTTGTGCTATAACTAAAATTTTATTAATTTTTTACCAACCTAAAATAAATGTTTTTCAAATGGTTAAACACAATTTTCTTAACGACATGGATCATCTTCTCTGCCTCTTGTGGAGAGCAATGGCTCAGTGTATTGCTGACGCGATTTCATAATATTAAGACCCATATTGTTGATAGTATCATGATATTCGCTGGTGCCTGTTCTGTGAACAAACCAGTCTTCTATTGCCGTTGGTGCTAAAAAAGTCAATTTTCAAAGTTATATACATTTTATCTATAAAGTCATCTAAACTTGTTTCCATAAAGATAAATCATTAGAAAATCTACAAGCCGTGTGAAAGTTAAATTTCCCCCAACCAGTTTGGGTTCACAAATGCTGTTGGTATCCCCTTGCGGTTGGGAATCCCCTGTAGAAATAGTAAGGCACTACAACTCCCTTGGCACCATAATAAATGAAGGATGGACCAACAACCAGTAGATTAGAGCACGCATTGGAAAAGCTAGTCCATCTTCAATCGAATAAGGGTTTTGCTTTCAAGAGTCACAACCTCTCTATTGATACAAAAGTAAGAATGCTGCGATGCTAAGTCTTCTCTGTCCCTTTTTATGGTGTTCAATCGAGGACCTTGAACGAAGATATCTGCAGAAAACTGGAAGCATTTGAGATGTGGCTATATTTGAAAATACTTAAGATTCCGTGGACCAACCGAGTCACAAATGAGGAGGTCCTCAGAAGAATAAATATACATATTATGCGAAATGAATCCAGATATGGTCTCCTTTAAACCATCCTGCAAGGAAATATATTTCGAAAAGGAAGTCCAGGAAGAAGAAGTACATCTTGGTTTAAGAATCTCAGAATTTGGGTCAATACAACATCTATGCAGCTTTTTCCGTGCTGCTGCAGATAAGATAAAGGTAAAGTTAAGTGATAATATAAAGGTAAATCTTGAGCTGAGAGTGTGGATGAGAGTTTTTGCGTGCGTTTTCCCAATCTTCTTTGCAAGTCGACCTAGGAGCGGGTGCTCTGTTTCTCACCCTATCTAAAGTTACTTTCAGATCAGCATTCCAATTGATAATGCTGGTGCGCAGGACTGCCTGATTAGTTGCTGTTGGGCTAAATAAGAGCCTTGTCTTTCCTTATCAATTCCAAGAAGTATTGGTTTTCAATGGTGTGTATGACTTGTTTGATAACATTGGGGATTCAAAGACGATAGTTTGCGTTTTCTTCGCATTCATTACACCATCGTTCGACGACGTTTAATAGATACTATGACTTCTGACATACTCTCACAGTATTGTACCGTTTTGTTGTGGTTAATAAGGCTGTATCGGCTGCATAGACTAGAAGTTGAGTGCCAGATATGTTTTCGATAGTTAGGTCGCTGTTATGATATACAACAATGAGGGTAGTATGGAACCTTGTGGGACCCTGTTTTATAGAGAGAAGGGTGTTAACATCATGTATTTTGACTCTTACAGTTCTGTCACAGATAAGATTTTCAATTTTTATAAATTGTTTGACGAAGGATGCTGAAAGTCCCCTGGACAGCGCATATGAGCAACGAGCAGGTCCTACACAAGATGCGGTACCCGACAGAGAACTCTTAAAAATAATGAAAACACGGAAAACCTCATATTTGGGACACATACACAGAAATGAGAAATACCAGCTACTGCAGCTTCTTATAGAGGGGAAGGTAGAAGGAAAAACGTGGTCCTGGTAGACGGCAGGCATCCTGGTTGAAGAACATTCGTGAGTGGACTGGTTTGGATTCTCAATCTTTAATAAGAAAAGCCAGGGACAGAAATGATTTGTGCTGAGGTTATCGCCAACCTTCATTGAAGACGGCACCCAACGAAGAGAAGATAAATTGTGACTATGGCCTAAGTAATGTGGCTGCATTGTCATTTATGTATTGATAGTTAGAGATTATTTAGGTTACGAGAAATCCTGTGAATCTCTCCTTAAGGATGTACTCAAGGATTGTTCTTAGTGTATTGATCAAATAGACCGGTCTATAGGCTTGCACATTGGTATGGGATTTATCTATTTTGAGTAACATAAGCGTGTTATCCATTTTACAAGGGGTAGGAAAGTGGCCTGAGTTTTAGACATGCAAAAATAATATTTTAAAAAACGCGATTACAAAGATGGCAACTTCCTGAACATAACAAACAAGATGGATGACCTGTATACCTAAGGCGAGACGCGCAATACGCGAAAAAGAGATAACCTATGTCAGAATAGGAAAGAATAAAGTTTGGGATGATGGAATTTGAGAATAAAATTGGGACAGTGTCGAATGATGTTCTAAACCGATTATAGATATCTGCGATATTACTACTCACGATTTAGATATGTATTACACATTTAAAGAAGACGAATTTAAAATAATATGATAATATGTGTTTGAGGTGCGTTCCTGGGACGACTTTATTTTATAATAGTTAATTTAATTACATGAAATTTACTCGAAACTTTATTTGTATTTCTTGTAGATTTAAAACTCTTTATTTCAATCTCTTTTTTATAACTTACATCAACTGATTTAACAAGACAAAATTGCTATAATGATTCTATGATATTTGAAACGAATCAAAAGTGTGAAAATAGTTCATTGACAATTCCATCAGTCTATGAAACATCTTATTTTAAACTTACAAAAAGATATTTCGATGATGGATAAATTAAAACCATCATAACGAGCTATGATCCATTTACAACAGAAGAAATAAAAAAGGCACTTTTGAGAATAAAAAACCAAAATCCAGCCTTGTAGGTATAGGTACCTATGTAACATTTTTAAATTTCGTTCGAATGTAGTATTTGAAAGCTGAACAGAAAAGAAACTTTGATAAACCTTAACAGAAGAGTATACCTGCAGTAGATTAATGCAGTAAAAGCTTTTACCAAAGTAACATTAGTTGTATCAATAACTACTTACTTCTTTGGAAACCAATTTGTGAACAAACATCCACAAAAGGCTTGGGAAAGGTGTTGAACCTGAATTTCGTTGGATCTCTATATCCCCGACCCAAACCTATAATTTCTCCCTTTACAGGAATTCCTACAGGAGAATCTATTGCAGCCGTCAGTTTCTTGTATGAAGTTAGTGGTAAACCTTTCTTGATGTAATCGGTTTGGTATATGGTTTTCATTTTTTCGTCATCGGTATCGCACGGATGGTCAAGAATGTCGCTGGATAATATTGCCATCTAAAATATAAAACGAATAATTACGTCTTAAAACTAAATATATACCATTTTTCAAAGTAAAAACGTTTCACGTCACAATTTATATAAAGTGACGTCACTTATATTTATAATTTCCAGAACGTCAACCTTAGGGTTCAAATTTTCCTAACACAGCTAATAATACGAAACCCATACGGAACTGCTCGATCTTTTATAGATGTCAACATGGTATAATAATCAAAAAAATGTAAGCATCATTATATTGGGAATTTTAGAATTATATTGATTAATTAACCAAAAACATTTGTTATTATGAATAATATAAATTTTTATGAAATAACTTTTTATGTCTAATATTCCACAAAATAATCATTTTAATTAAATAGATTAGACAATTGTATGTAACTGATACGGGAATACTTCAAATTTCAATGACAGTTTAGCGTGAGGTAAAATTGTAAGTGTTGCCGCTTTTTTAGAGTAAGAATTTTATTTCTGTTTTGATTTCTTATACAATTTGATCATGATACATCATGTATTAATAAATTGTACTTATAAATAGGTACATGTTAAATTTAGATTAATAGATTTAAAAACTAATTATTGTTGTGTATTGTGATTATGCTATGCCAAAACAACTAAATAGTCTGTAGAAAGCTGATAAGCTTATGCTAAGCTATATAAGATATATGTGTAGTTGCAGTAGTCTTAAAACTAAGTGTATTTACTATATAACAGTTTGACAAATATTTGACATTTTAAAAATTCCTGACTTACTAACTATTCTGATGTTTTGGCAACGCTGTGAGGTTCTGACGTTGTAAATCTTGAATGACGTGCAATCATTGTTATATGAAAAATTCTATAGTATATCTCTTGTATAATAAAGAGATGCCGCTGGTTATTATAAAAACAATTGAAAACGTCTATCAAACAGTAATATGGTAGGCCGAATAGATAGACAACTTGCGGAAACTATAGATACAAAGAATTAAATAAGATAGAGGCATTCACTAAGTCCCATGCTATTCAATCTAATCATGATGTAGTTATAAAAAGCGTCAATAAAGGAAGTCAATACAGAATGGGAATTACCGAAAATAAAAATGGAAAGTTGAAAAAGAAGGAAGAGATTAAGTACCAAGAGCAAATTGCAGGATTCCTTGATAAGACTATATGGCGTAACTGGCAGATTCACATTGAGATAAAATCAAGATTCTATGAGGCCAGTATGTATAAGACCAATAATGACGTACGCAATTGATTTTAAAATATGAATTTAATATCGTTCTGAAGCTACTTTCTTGTGACATTTTAATATAATTTACTATTTTTGTAAATGTCTTAATTTTATAGCAAAATTGTGGCTTATTCCTTACAAAAATAGTAAAATAATTTAATAACTGTAAATTGAGTTCCTTCATTTCGGTATATTTAATAAAGTTTCGTAGTATTGTTTCAAATTTTGTTTTAATGTATTTTTTGACGTTTCGGGAAAATTTTGTCATTAATATCAGCAAAATATAGGCATTACGTTTACGTAGTTTTAAGAAGTATAACACTTTTAATAAATTGATTTTTTTTTCACAAGAATAGAGATAATATGGAAAAAATCATGGATGCCAAAATTTATCAACGAAATAGTTGTCGAATGATGTGCCACATATGGCTTGTTCTCTATGTACAATGAAAGATTTATAATAGTCGAAGGGATTGACAAATGACAGATACCTATATCGTTAAAAAGGTAATTAGCTCATTTGAAATAAAAATTGACGTTTTTTAGCATTTTCACAAAATCCAATGATTGTTACCAAATATCAGGCCAACTCTGTGTATGTATTGTGTAAAGTTAGAAAACTAATTTATAATCTCATACCTATTAAGTTACATACAATAATAGCAATTTTGTGATACCTTTTTACTCAATTCTTCTAACTCCTGATACAGCTGCATCTCCTTTTGCGCCAACTTTTTATATCTTCCCATCTCTGGTTCATACAAATGAAAATCACAATGGCAATATGGTTCGACCAGTCGGGCGACATAGTCGTTATTGTGTTTAACACGTGCAGGAGGCTCTGATGGTCTAAAATTGATATATTATTGGAAAATATTTAATAACTGAAATATTTAAAAGTGTTAATTGTATATAAGAAATAAAATATCAAAAACTTTACTGTTTTCATTTGTCGACTAAATTTAAAAGTGACTATAATATATTTCTTAATAAACTCTCTAAAGGGTCAAAATACTAATCGGGTTCTTCTTCTTCTTCAGCCTTCATTTATTCATCGTTGGGCATAGGCCCCCTTCAATTGCTTCCACGCTTCCCTATCTTTTGCAATTCTCATCCACTGCTTTCCAGCTACACCTGTTATATCGTCTATCTATCTCTTTTTGGGTCTTCCCACGCTTCTTTTTGTTTCTTGAGGTCTCCAGAATGTCACTTTATGAGACCATCTGTTGGTGTCTTGTCTTGCTACATGGTCTACCCATTGCCATCGGAATGTACAGTTGCGGTCACGGAATAGTTTACACCTTACTTTTTATATTGTAATACTGTAAAATTGCAGTGTCGTACGGATTTGATAAATGTCAAAGTCAAAAAATTTCAAAACGTCAATGCTTTCGCGAGTGTTCAACAATAAAATAAAAGTATATTAAACTCTTCCAAAATGGTTAGAATACATTTGAATTATGCGCAAAAAGCAAGAGCAATTGCCAAACTCGAAGAAGGTTGGTCACTAAGGCAAGTTGCTGCTGATTTGAAACGTGAGTCATATGTGCATATGGAAGATTAAACAAAGATGGGATAATTTTCACTCTATAGCACGGTTGGGCGGTTCAGGAGGGCAGAAGATTTCCACAGATCAACAGGATGAGATGTTAGTAGATTATTTGAGAGAATCTCCTTTTGCCACAGCTCAAAAGGCAAGAGAAGAGGCAGCGTTTCCAGGCAGTATTCGCACTGCACGTCGAAGAATTAAAGCAAGTGGACTGCTAAATTGTGTAGCTGCACGGAAACCTTTTTGACTGAGGATCACAAGAGGAGACGAGTTGAATTTTGTAATGAATTTATAAACCGCGATGAGAATTTTTGGTCTAGGGTTGTATTTTCCGATGAAAAAGTATTTCAGTCGTATAATAATGTCGAATAAGAGTTTATAGGCCGAGAAATCATAGGTATGATGAACAGTATACGCATCATTTAAGAAATAGTGGAGGATTCTCTGTCAACGTATGGGGATGGATAAGTGCCGAAGGCCCGGGCGTTTGTTATCATGTAGAGGAGAAGTTAACAGGATTATATTACAAACATATTATTGAGCACACAATGTTGCCATCGGTGATCCTGAGATTCCCCAACAACGACTTTATCTTCCAACATGACAATTGCCCGGTGCATACGAGTAGAATTGTTCGAGAATGGCTAGAAGAAACTGATGTTAATGTTCTTCCGTGGCCTTCCCGTAGTGCAGACTTTAACCCCGTCGAAAATGTGTGGGCAGAGTTAACAAAGAAACTAAATGAAAGAAACCTTAGACCACGGAATAGAATTGAATTATGGGAAGCAATTGAGCAGGCATGGGAAGAGCTTGTTAACTATAACATGAGGGGATTGGTGCTATCTATGAACAGAAGACTGCAAAATTGTATTGACAAGAATGGGGCTTCCCCCAAATATTAATTATTATTTATCATTGTTTATCGTTATTTAATATAAAATAGATTTAAAATAAAATGCATATTAAAAAAAAAGACTTCTTTATTTTCGTTATTAAGATCATAATCCATTTTATTCAAAAAAGCTGTTTTCTATATTTTTCATTTTGTAAAATATTTTGATATTTTAATTTTAATCTACCTATTCTAGCTAGTACACCACTGGCAACGTCACTTTGACGTAAAAGGTGCGTTTAAACGAAGTAAAAATTTAAAAAATGGGCTCCTAGATACGTGAACCTGTAAACTATTCCGTGACCGCAACTGTAGCTATTTATCAGCTAATGGGGTCGCTAATTAGGTTAACACTTATAAATCCTTAAAAGTATACACTTCACGCAAGAAATTTACTACTAATTATGAGGGTGGTTACACTCGGGTTTTATTCTTATTAATGCAAATATTAACCACTCGTACCCCTTTTTAATTTAACTTTTCAACGCCACCTCGTATTTTATTATGGCTGGCTAGTTATAGAGAGACAGAAGCAAAACAAAAAAGAATCCAAGCATTCGAACTCTGGTGTTACCGTAAAATGCTCAGAATATCCTACATAAGCCATACGACAAATGTGGAAGTCTTGCGGAGGATGAATAAGGAAAGAGAGCTTATGCTTATAATAAAAGAACGGAAAACACAATATTTTGGTCACATCATAAGAAATCAAAAGTATGAACTGCTCCAACTTATAATCGAAGGCAAAGTCAATAGCAAAAGAGGACCAGGAAGAAGACGCAACTCTTGGCTTAAAAACCTACGGCAATGGACGAACATGACCTCCATAGAACTATTCAGGGCTGCTACAAATAAGATTAAATGGGCAAATGTAATGGGCAACGTCCTTAAGGATAAGGCACCGTAAGAAGAAGTTATAGAGAACTGTGTCTGCGAAGCGAGCTTGTTAAGAAAAAGAATAGACTTACAGAATCTCCTACTTGTCATAAAAATAGACGAATAGGAGCAACTGATCTCTGTCGTACCCAATATTTCATCTTAGCTTTACCCAATTATTTAGCATAGAACCTATCTTGAATATTCATCTCAGTTTAGAACTAAACCAAAGAATGGTTAAGTGCTATATTTGGTCTGTACTTGTGTACGAAGCAGAGGTATGGACACTAAAAGTATCAAGTATGAACATAATTAAAGCATTGTAGATGTGGATTTATATACGAATTCTGAAGATACCTTGGACAGAAAGAAAAACTAATGAGGAAGTACTAAAAAGGGTCAACAAAGGTAGAGAATTGCTAAATACTGTTACTAAACAGTAAAAATGTCTTATCCGAGACATAAACTGAGCGGAAATCGGTATATAATACTACAGCTGATCCTTAAAGCCAAAATAGAAGGCCGTAGATGTGTAGGAAGAAAACAGCTCAGACATCAAATGCAGCACAATTATTCCATTTGACAGAATATCGAGAAGCCATCGAGATAACTCCGATATGAAAAAAAAGAACCTATCTAACCCACATCCCGAGAGTTGGAAGACTCCTTTTGACCGTGTTTGAGTGGAAAAGTGTGTGACGTATATATATGCCGCGCACCCTATAGACACACTGCGTAACGTGCGCCGTTACTCACACTTTTAACTCACACACTTCTAAATTTTGTCCTCACTTTCCAATCTGTTTACCAGCGTAGCAAGGCATCCACCGAGTGATTGCCGGTATAAGAAATCCACCACTTACTGACCAACGGCTTCCAACACTCATATAACATTACTAACTGATCCAACGGGCGGATAACTTAAGTAAGTGGTGGGCACTCTTTTGTTCTAGAGTGGAGAAACTGGACCTAGCTGGATGAACCAAGAAATAGATCAACTGCTTAAGGCTATGTAAATTAAATGGGATTTTTGATATGGATATCTCTTTCACAGCTATTATATATACAGCTTTGAAAGTGAATACTTCTTCTTCTTCTTCTTCTACTTTTTGTAGATCTTTCGATCTGTTTAATTCTGAAGCTGCCTCTGGTTAATTTCTTGGGAGGTAGATTGCCAACTATCCCTCCATCTTTTAGGTGGTCTTCCGGGGGTCTTGAACCAGGCGGATTGTTTTCTAGGGCAATTTTTGGGAGTCTATTCTCATCCATTCGTCTTACATGGTTGTACCACATCCTCTTGCGCTGTCTTCCCCATCTTACAATATCTTGAATTTTGCACTGCTCTCTAATGTTTGTATTTCTCACTCTGTCCCTTCTTGTTTTCCCCATTATTGTTCTTAGGGTTTTCATTTCGGCAACCCTTAGCATCTGTTTCGTTTTGTTGGTATCTTCGCGCACTTCTATGCCATATGTCATGATCGGTCGTATGCAAGTCTTATCTTATGATATCATTAATATCGGATTGCAAGATCCGACAGGGAAGGAATAACACAACAAAACCATGGGAAGTCCCATATCGTTAGCAAGCAAAACCGCCAAGTAAAAGGAACGAGCACCTCCATAAAATCTAAAAAGTTTATTGAAATATACACCTGGAACGTCAAGACCATGTACGAAGTAGGCAAAATTTATAATGTAATCCATGAAATAGAGAGACTGAATATATAATGGGAATCAGTGAAATATATTACTCCAGAAATAGAAAAGGTCAACATAGGCATGTTTGCTGTTGTTGGTAGCGGACAAAAGATTCAGAGGAAAATCTCCAGTACGATGGTCAGACCAATAAAGGACAAACCACGCGCACAGGAGAGAGAAGTGGACAGAAATAGTCAAACGAATTATATGACGTCGCCACATCCTTATGAAGGAAAAAAGATAGTTGGGATACTTCATACTATAAGAAGATACAGTATTGTGCGAATTAATGGAATCACTGTGATTCTTTTTTTATTTTTTCAAGATTCACAGTTGGCAACACTACCTACAGAGTTGACAGCTGACCAAACATTGAAAACATAACTTACTGTGTGTTGGTGTGTTTGAGTATGTTTTAGGTCATTTCTTACCAAGCTTGTGTTGTTTTGGGGGTTTTTGTACTATTTTGTGTTGTTTTTGGTTTTATTCCAACATGGATATTACGCCTAGGAAGCGTGAAAAGATTGTCACGTTGAGTGAACACACTAGTATGTCACAAAGAGAGATTGCTAGAACGTGTGGAGTGAGTCAGGAGTAGTAAGCAAAATTTTGAAGCGTAAACGAGAAACGGGATCAGTGGATGTGAAAAGGTTAGGAAAATGTGGAAGAAAGAGAAAAACAACACCAGCAGATGATAGATTTTTACTTCGAAAGAGCAAATTGGACCCAAGAAAATCAAGCTAAGACCTACAACAAGATCTAGCAGCATCAGCTATAGTGATTCATGACTCAACTGTTCGTAGAAGACTTTTGGAGAATGGTAGAAGGGCAATTCGTCCACAGAAAAAAAACAGCTTCTAACTGAACGAATGAAGAAATAAAGGCTACTGTGGGCCAACAAATACTCTAATTGGACTGTAGGCGACTGGAAAAAAGTCCTATTTACAGATGAAACCCACTTTATAGTTCAGGGACAGCGGTCGAAATTTGTCAGGAAGTCTAACAATGAAAAGCTTACACCATCTCGTATTGACCAAACCGTAAAACATCCAGTCAAGAAAATGTTTTGGGGATGTTTTTCATACATGGGGGTTGGATCTTTGGTGCCAATTGAAGGCATGATGAACAGCCAAAAATACAAATCCATGTTGAAAAAGTATTTGGACAAACAACTCCAAAAATGTCAACCCCAAGGAGGAGCGATTCTTCAACAGGACTCTGCTCTTTGTCACAAATCAAAGGAAATGATGGCATTTTTTAAAAATAAGAAGATTAATGTTTTAGATTGGCCCGGTAATTCGCTCGACCTCAACCCCATTGAAAATTTATGGGCCATTTGCAAAGCTAGACTGCGAAAAAATCACTGTACCACTAAAATAAAAATGATAGAAGCGGCCATTCAGGTTTGGTATCGAGATGAAAGATATCTGACAACTGCCGTAAACTCATAGAATCTATGCTAAAACGGGTAAAAGCAGTAATTGCTGTCAAAGGGGGACATATTGCCTACTAAATGATGTAAGTTTACCTTTATAGTTTTGTCAAAATATAATTTTTTACTAAATAAATTGTTTTTTTATTAAAACAGCCTATGATTCCATTAATTCGCACAATACTGTAAGTAAAGGCAGATCTTAAACTAGATAGACTGATGATATTAAGCGAATAGCTGGTCACGGAGGGATGCAAAAAACAACGAACAACAATGCACTTAAGGGAGGATTCCATCCGACGCTGAGGCCAGACGTCTTTCAAACGAATAAAAAATTTCTATATCTTACACACACACACTTGTTTTATTTAAATTTAAAGATATAAAGCGCTTAATTAAAGGCCATAAACATAGCAGTTTTGCCAAAGTCTCGATGACTTTTGTAGTTGATGCAAAATGTATATTAAGTATATTGGCTGTAGTACAACCTACGTACAACAAACTCCTTCTAGAGAGGAAGTAATTAAACTAATACTTAAATTTGAAACATACAATACAGGCCATCACCAGCGATACTTCATTTACAAAAACCACTTACAATACGGTTTAAAAATATTTAGTGGCCATATAAAATGTTATGTGTAATTAAAATTATATAGGGTAATTTCGATGATTAGGTAGGATTTTAACTGAAATTGAGCTGAGCATTTTCGCTATAATAACAACAACGTCTAGGTAAAACCAAAGTTACCTGACAACTCAGAGTTTTTCATTTATACGATTTTATTAATTATTACTTACTTTGAAACCATAGGCTTTGGATAAGGCCATTTGTAATCTCTTCTGGTGCTAGTTAAAAATGAATCTAAACCCGCCATTTTGGAACTCTAACTAAAAATTTTGTCTTATGGGTTCTAATTTATGTTCTAATATACTTTTTCATTAATGACTTTTGAAGAGTGTACACGTGGGGCCAAAGAATTTTTACAGTTATCCTGAAAACGGCGTAAACTAGAAAATTTTGCGTCAATCTTAAAAGTATATTCCAGTACTCCATTTTATTTATTATTGTCACTTTGACAGTTCATAAAAAAATAATAATCTAAGTAGCAACATCTAACGCCTATATTTATTGTATTGAAAACAAAGTGCGCTACACAAATCAAAGTTCGCTAAGTTTCGATAGAATTCGAAAATACGACCCCTGGTCTTAGAACATGTACATGGAAAAATAAAATATTGTTTATGTTCTGCAGTTATTACTTAATAAAAAACTAATAAAAAGGTCGGCTCATATTTAATCCGTCCTGATTTCCAAGGGAAAAAATCTAGGCTTAAAAACGCATATATGCAGTTTATATGATATTTCAATATGTATCAAACAGGGTAATTTAAAAAAAAATCGAGTTTTTTATACAGTACCAACATGCGGAATAATATTTGTTACGATGCCATTATTCTTGTATACGAGCTGTAGAAAACATGCCATTGATTTATCCTGAAGAAGGTGAATACCGCATGAATCGTAAGTAAATAAATAAAATATTCTTTTCGAAATCTTTAGCAGCTAAGTACTTCTCCTTTTCTTTTTGTTTACTCATGTTAACTTTTGTGCTGCTTGAATATCAACATTATATTTTTTTCTATGTCAACTTAAGCTTATTATTTTGATTGGTGAACTTACCTCGAGAAGAGACGTAGGATTATTATAGCTGAAGATATTGCGACTTTTATAAATTTGAATTTATGAATTCAGTTTTTGAAATAGTCTAATCGCTTCGTTTATATACCCTTTATCTTTGGCGCATCATAAACGGCTCGTTTTTAAAGGAATCGTTCTTAATTTTTTTGTCCAAACTTAAACTCTGAATATTTCAAATGGTTCTTTTTAAATTACTTTTTTTATTTACTTTTTAAATTAATTTTGTTGAATTCATGTAACAATGTCAATATAGCGAATAAAAAAAATTAACAGATCACACACAGGTAAAAGAAGCAGATCGCACAAATGGCATTGAACCGACGATATAAAAGATTAGAATAACTGGATTAGAACAGTTTAAGATAGAGCTCAATGAAGCAATTTGATGGAGGCCTATTTTAAGCAGTAGACTCAACACCAGACTTGCCTTTTTAATTATATTTTAATTAAATTATATATAGTACAGGTTGTTTACAACTGTCGTTGTTTTCCTGTCCCTAGTTTCCATCGTTTCCTATCTCGGGTGTCGGCTTCATTTAGCTGTCTTCTTTCCATGGCTTCATTCACGTCATCTCGCCAGCTTCTTCTTGGACGTCCTATTTTCCTTCTTTCGGTTGGGATCCATTTTAATATTTTCTTTGGCCACCTCTCGTCTGCCATTCTGTTTACATGACCGAACCAAGTTAGTTGTTTTTTCTGGACTTCATCTATAATGTCTTTTTCTTGCTCCATTCTACGTTTTATTTCCTCATTGCGGATTCTCTCCATTCTTGTCAATCTACAGCTTCTTCTCATAATATCCATCTCGGTAACTTGTAATTTTTTCCTGTTTCTTTTACTAGTGTCCCATATCTCTGCTCCGTATGTTACCACCGGCTCAACCATCGTCTTATATATTCGTTTTTTTCGTCGTTCTTGTGATTTTTTTATCCCAGAGAATGGAGTTTAGGCATTTGGTAATGTTTCTGCCTTTGTTTATTATTGTATTTATTTCTTCATGGCTATTTCCGTCTTTTGTAAACACTACTCCTAGGTATTTTACTCTATTTGTTCCTTTGATTTTGTCACTCTCCAATGTCAGGTCTTCGACTGTATTTTTCTCCACTGAGAGATATTCGCATTTTTGTAAGTTCATTGTCAGTCCACATTCTTCGTACGCTGTTTGTAGTTTCCTAACCATATAGCTGAGGTCGTCTATATATTCTGCTACCACCGGTTGGTCATCAGCGAAGAATAGTGTATAGAGAATATCCTCATCTATTTGTATTCCCATATTTCTGCATTGTCTTTGTCACTTTTATAGAGATCGATCCAGATATATTTTAAACAGCGTAGGTGATTAACAACATCCCTGTCGTAGCCCTTTCGTAGTGTTGAATTTCTCACTAAGTTTGCCATTTATTTTAATTGATGCGGTGTTGTTTACATACCACTTTTGAGTTGCTATTATTAACGAAGGTTTTATTTCCATGTTTTGCATTTCACTCCATAAATTATTTATCGGCACGTTATCATATGCCTTTTCAAGATCTATCAGGGCTATATGTGTTTCTTTGTTGTCGCTTTTCGATTAATATTTTAAGTGTGAATAGATTATCTATAGTCGATTAAGATTATCTATAGAATTAAAATCAATAAACTAGATAACAAGTTTATTCTATTGTTGCAGGTGATTACCTCATTTATATTAGGAAATGTCTTCAGCTACATGGCTTCGACGGAAAGAAGAAATACGTTTGGCACGCTACATTCATATTTATAACTTTACTTTTTTGTGGAAGACTATCGTATGCTTTTAGACTAATAACTGAACCAAAAATGCTTGTGGAAATCATTGTGACATATCCTTTAGCAATTATGGTAACATTAAGAACTGTATGATCTTTATTTTTCAATAAAAACCTGAATTTATTTATAACATACGGTATCAAAAGTATTGAGAACTAGTGGGGCTCTTTCCCTATTATCGAGCCTAAGTGACATGTTACGCCAGAGTATCTCCCAAAAATGTTCTTATGCATCTGGAGGTTGAGAGCAGTGATCTGCATAATCTTATAGTGATGTTCAATAAGACCCAGCCATTTTATATTCTCTAGGTGGTTTTTCAGAATGCAGTAGTAGAGATAATAATAGGTATCACCTGGGTACTTTTCATTCGCCAATGTTTCTTTATTTTGTATCTCAAGATCTCTGTACTTGCCGATATTCTCGTTGTATTTAACACGCAGATTATTGTTGTTATATCGTTGTTGTATCGCTATATTAATAAGTGTTGTTTCTGTAGTTAGTTAATTAACTATGGTCTGTTTTTTAACCACGAGGAGTAATTCAAATTTTACGCGCCGTAATGCTTGTTTGTAATTGGTTCAACCGCAGGCAAGTTTACTCCACTAAATTATGACATATTGACACTAATGACATTTGTGAAATTTTAAAATTCAAACTTTATATATATATATATCGACGATTTTTTGTATTTTCTGCGTTATTCGTTACATTTCTAGATTTTTTCGTTTGCATTTATATAAAAACAGTTCTTTTCAGAACTATTTAGCGACATATTAGTGTTTTAAGATAACAATATGGATTTAATGCCAAGTACTTGTAGTAATTATTCGTCTCCACCTTAAAAACGCCAAGTAGATTTGGTTCATTTATCATCAAATGAGAGACAATGTATTATAAACATGTACAAACAAATAATGAAAATTGATCTTTCTGGAATGAAAATAACGGCCACGGTAAAAAAAATAAAACATGCAACAGGTTAGTTTTGCAGAATAGTTATTGTTAAAATCAAAACTTACTAAAATAATGTGCTAATTTGAAGAACCAAAGAATATAAGCAGACTGGAATAGTAAGATGTCCTAAAAATATTGGCGGTCGATTGCAACATACGATGAAGGAGTTAAAACATCTATATGACAAATTAGTACACAGCTTATTTTTCAAGAATGAAATGCCCACCTTAAGTGAAATTTACAACCGCTCAGATCTTCCAAATGTGTCGTTCATTATTATATAAATTCTTAAAGCAAATCAATTTAAAGTAGGTAAGTAAATATGGATTAGCCACAAATATTTAATTAAATGATCTAAAACATTTTAGAGGTTTTATTTTTATAATCGGGTATATTATTGTTACTGCTAAATAGTTTTTGTAATTAAAATTTATGAGCTACATGAAAAATGTTTGTAACTATTACACTTCATGTTTGATCAAAATATTTTTCCTATTTATAGACATAAGTACAACAGCCTTTGTGTTACGAATTGATTGATTTATTATCAGTAGTAATATCCCTAGGACATTGATAACAGACGAGATAATTTCATGACAATCGAAAGCTCGTTAGATCTAGATAGAACGATCGTTGGTAACAGCACCAAACAGCACGAAGCCGAAGGCTGAGTGCTGTTACCAAGAAACGAGCTTGAGAAATTTGTCATGAAATTATGAGGCATTCATCAATGTCCGAGGGATATTCGGCGGATAATTTTTCGAGAAAAAAATCATAACTCAACATAACGAAACATTTATTTATTAAAAGTATAGTTAGTGAAAGTACAATTATTAAAATTTAAGTTAATATTAGATTAGAAACGCGACATTTTGAAATTTATTTGGATGAAGTTGTCAAACTCGATCGTGTTGTCATAGGGATTGAAAATTGCACTGGATGCAATTATCAGTCTAATGTTGACATGATTGGGTGAAATTGTTCCACATGACACAAAATGACGAAATTTGAATGGTTGTTTAGAACAGTCGAAAAATTATCTATATTATGAATGTCTTACCCTAGTTATTTTTTAGGTAAAATTATTCAATGAATGGTTTATACATTGGGCTGCAGACTAAAAACAAAACTCGTTTGCTCAAATATCTGAAAGAGATTTAGTTTTTGCCAAAAAACTAAATGAAAAAATTCAAAATTGTGTAGTTGTTCATGAACCTCACCAAGACATAAATGGAGAGGTTATTTAGGAAGACTAATAAATTTTTACATACATCCCGAATATATATTATGCACAGAATATTATTGTCCTTTATTATATAAATTGATTTCTGACTCTTTAAGTTGTTTGTAATAACTTAGACTTGGTGATATGTGAATAGTATTTAATGTGATATTTTTCTAGATGATATTTATACTAAGTATAGTTTAAAGTGTTTATAAATGTAGGTTATTTATATCTAATTATCATAAGAAAAATGGCAACCATCTTTTAAATTTAGTGTATACTTGTTAAAAAGCATTTTCATTTTGTTTTCATCACAATAAAAGAACATTAGTAAAGTAATGTTGTGTTTTAGTTTGATTGTATTAATAGAGTTGGTTTTGTTCTTCCTGGTTG